GCTGGGATTACAGGCACACGCCACCATGCCCAGCTAATTTTTTGTATTTTTAGTAGAGACGGGGTTTCGCCATGTTGACCAGGATGGTCTCGATCTCTTGACCTCGTGATCCACCCGCCTCGGCCTCCCAAAGTGCTGGGATTACAGGCTTGAGCCACCGCGCCCGGCTGCTTTATTTTTAAAATTCTACTAAAGACAACAATAATTCAGCCTGACTTTTTCTCCACGTTAGTACGATGCATACCAAAGTCTGGCTATAGGTCTCGTGATCCCTTAGAGGGCAACTTGACCAGAAATGCTCTGAGTAAGTTCTTAGTCATTCTGTGCTAAACGACAATGGGGAGGGTCAGTGCCAACACAGGCAGGGACTGTTCTAACTGAGAGGGGCAGAGGCTGAAAGGAAAGGCCATGCAAAAACCAGTGGTACTTCTACAAACCAATGATGAGTACCTGGAAATCATATATTTAAAATTGGGGCCTGGCATGGTGGTTCATGCCTGTAGTCCTGGCCCTTTGGGAGGCCATTGATGGGTGGATCACCCGAGGTCAGGAATTCAAGAACAATCTTGCCAACATGGCAAAACCCCATCTCTACTAAAAATATACAAAAATTAGCTGGGCATGGTGGCAGGTGGCTGTAATCCCAGCTACTCGGGAAGCTGAGGCAGGAGAATCGCTTGAAGCCAGGAGGTAGAGGTTGCAGTGAGCCGAGATAGTGCCATTGTACTCCAGCCTGGTGACAGAGTGAGACTCCATCAAAAAAATAAATAAATTAGCTGGGCATGGAGGTGCACACTTGTAATCCTAGCTACTCAGAAGGCTAGGGCAGGAGAATCTTTTGAACCCAGGAGGCAGAGGTTGCAATGAGCTGAGATCACACTATGCACTCCAGCCTGGGGGACAGGGTGAGACACAGGAAAAAGAAAAAAGAAAGAAAGAAAAAATTCTAACAAAATATTTGCAGGAGCCAAATGCTAATGCCACAAAAAGATATCAAAGAAGCCAGGTGTGGTGGCTCACACCTATAATCCCATCACTTTGGGAGGTGGGAAAAATCACCTGAGGTCAGCAGTCCAAGACCAGCCTGACCAATATGGAAAAACCCCATCTCTACTAAAAATACAAAAATTAGCTGGGCGTGGTAATGCATGCCTGTAATCCCAGCTACTTGGGAGGCTGAGGCAGGAGGAATGCTTGCACCCAAAAGGCAGAGGTTGTGGTGAGCCAAGATTGTGCCATTGCACTCCAGCCTGGGCAACAAGAGCAAAACTCTGTCTCAAAAA